ATCATATCTACATATATATCTAATTTACACTTAAATACTGCCTCGAAAATATGGAATGTTTGATGACCAACGTAAGTTAATCTGTTATATACAAAATTAACAACATGCGCTAACAAATTATACTTACGAAAATAAGCTCAATGTCACCTTGTTCTTCGTATGAAGTCATATTGCCGAAAATTACGTCAATCAAACATATATTTCACACACAATTTCATTACACCATATCGGCATAAGTTAACACGAATACCTTCCATACCAAGGTGGCCAACATATAATGCAAGGATGACAAAATAAATATCATACCTGTCAATTAATTTCCCCACAAGCACAGTACGGTGAGCACCTATGAAAGGATGTCGTATGAATTTATGGTTGAAAGGTATAATTTAATAGCGTACGACTCCCGTATTGTAGGCTGGGATAGCGACTAGCTACGGCCTGGACGGCGAAAAGGTCGAAGTTCGAGTCCCTGTTGGAACAAAAATTTCCCTTCCACATCATTAAGACGATTAAGACTGCCAATGGGGTCCAACCAACATCCTATTGAATGGGTGCCGGTGGGCGCTTTCCCTGGTGGTAAAGCGGCCGGGGCGACAAGCTGTTCACTCACCTCCAACTAGTGCCAAGGCCAAGAAAATGTGGATGTATACACCCATACACAATTATGGCATAGTGCTTAGTTAAGCATAGGGACAACTTTGTCTTACCACTATATTTCGATATCTACAGCCTTTGAACAGTGGCGTACAACTGGTCTGGATTCTATTGTGTATAACTGCTAGTCTGTCGATCTATCATTTCACAATTCCTCAATCACGATTTACTGAAATAAATTTCCTGAAGATTCCTGAACTCTTACCACCCCTTACAGACAGCATCAGAGCTATGAATGGGAGAGAAGCCTCTCAGTTTTTAGTTGTCTCCCTGAGAAATTCTTGATACATGCCCCCAGAATTTCACTTATATCCCTATGCCCTAATTAGTTGACCTATTGAACACACTCCATAACTGCGCAAATAAAATTACACCTAACTTGTCTTAATATCACCATCTACCTTTTAATAGCATCCCTGCCTTCAGCTGCTTGATGCTATTGTGCTCACATAACCAGCTGTATTTGATGTTAATAATACAACCAATAGCCAGCAGCCTTCAGTGTTACTCATTCAAGTTAATGTTTCACAAGTATGCAATGAACTCAATTAGAATAACTGCCTATTTTCTGTCAACAATAAATAAAGTACCTACACAGTATGACCCTATATGCTATTACAACTGAAATAGGCTAACCAAATCTACTGTTCACTTTTAAAAACACAAAAAGCATTGTCTTTCATGAAACACAGCCACTGACATTCAGTCAGACAAACAGCAGAAACACTGTGTGGACTCGTGTGAAACAATTTCCAGGATCAGGGTAACAAGAACAACAAGAATTTATAAAAACTAAAATGAAGGAAATAACATAATTTTACACTATAGTAAATTTCACACTACTTAATGGTTCTAAATGTTATATTGACACTGGAAAACTGTGTAAATACATAACCAAAAGCCACCGTACTGATATGTACATGTGATGAGGCCAGACTCTGTTGTAGTATCACATGCTACGAAAAGCTGAACTTGATGGAAGTGTGTGGTTAGCTTCATGTTCTAATCACTGCACTCCAAGGAAGAGATGGAGACATAGGAATAAGGTACGGTTGATGTTAATATCTTAATGATCAACAGTGTAATACCACATAATGTTTCAAACATGTACACTCTTACACATAAAACTGCCGTAGGAATAAGGTATGGTAGATGTTAATATCTTAATGATCAGCAGTGTAATACCACATACTGTTTCAAATATGTACACTCTTATATATATAATTAAATGTGTGTTTTGATGTTCATTTATATCTTCAAAATTAGAGGTCCCATCTATTCCAGTGTATACAGAGTCTTTCCAAGTGGCATGAGGAATTCTGAGATTATCATCAAGAATTTCTTAATGTCATGTCAATGCATACATGATATAGCATGCCTGTACTCCCAGAAATAACTGAAACCAGGAAAGACCAAGTGGAAAATCGCAAATGTCATAACTACAAAAAATGGGTAGTTCTGCCAGTTTATCTATATAAATAAAAACGTAACTGTTCGTTTGTCTCTGATCGAAGATCTCCGAAAGTTCTTCACCGACTGCTTTGAAATTTTTTAACTTGTCACACAGCTTTCAGCAGAAAACTAAGATCTGACCCTGCTTCATACTCCTCATGATTCTGTCCCCTGGAAAACAGAAATATATGTATAAAAGTTCTAAGTCATTTCACAAGATTAATAGAATGAAATACAGTAGACTTAGTACTTCTTATAATGAGAGTTTCATTATAGTGACAAAAAAACACTGAAACTGTCAACTTCTTACTGCTGAACAAATGGAAACCACTGGATGAAATGAACGTTTTAATCAGCACGTTCGTCATCATGAGTGATTCAAATCTAGAGGTACTGTTTCCCATAACTTCTTGCTCAAACTGTACTTGCAATTTTGTTCCTGAAGTTATTTATGACTAGCAGCCCTGAAGGTCCTCCCTCTCTGTCCTTTGTCTTGGACAAAGTTCGCATTCCAGAATCTAATGGTTAGCAGCTAACTCTGAGTTTAAAAAACTGGGAAATGTACATCACATGATGTCCACTGCACCATGCAGATTCTTTTCTTTCCTTGTTACACTGGTATCCTCTTCCTATACTCTCTCTCTCTGATGTCACAGAACATGAATAGGAGGGAACATGCTTAAGGTCTTATTACATCAAATATCCACTGTATTTCAATTGGTGCTGACTGAAAAATGTTGAAAAACTATAATTATGGCAATGAAATAGGAGGGTTGAGACTTTAATATGAAACTTGAAATAATACCTTGACATGAACTTGGTAGCTCATCAAAAAGTGTGACAGGAAGATGGTAGGACTTGAACCTCATTGATATCTTTGTTTTTATGATACTGAAGAACAAATGGAAAGTACATAAAATACTACTCTCAGAAAATTAACATTGTTCCTTTTTTCTATGAGTACATATAGATGAAACTCATTTTATGATACCAGTTTGTGATAGTGTAACAAACATGAGATGAGATGTGGACTACCAGCATGTCACAGATGAGGGAATTATAGATTGTATGGATCCTATCCAGGTGTCTTATAAACATGGTGGTAATGTAAATGTACTCCTTCATAGAAACAATTAACAGTTATGGATTTATGTACACTTTACATACCACTATCAAAACATGCATTTAACAGTTAAATCTAATGACTGATACACAACCATTGCTTACGTGTATAACGTCAAAAGTTGCACACACTCCAATGATGCATTTAGAACATCCCATAACACAGTGTATGCACATAATGATTTGTACAATGATACATCTGTTACTCAAGTTCATTACAACTACACACGAGTACAGAGAAATATGGGTGGGACTTGTGAGCAGAACATGAGCAATCCATGTACATGGATATGCAGAAAACAGTGGGTTGACTTTTACTCATACAGCATAGCTCCTAATTAGCAATTATTTGTGAGGAAAGGAGATTATATAATTAACTTCTAACTTCATGGCACTGAACCCTTCCTGAGAAGCCACCAGTTGTGCAGATTCTCAAGAACTTCCCAGCATTTTATGGAACCCAAGGGATCATTACCGTGTTCACAAGCGGCCTCCCCTGGTCTCTATTCGGAGTCAAATCAATTCAGTCCATACAACCTCATCTTATTTCTCTAAGATCCATTTTAATATTATCCACCCACCTATGTCTTGGTCTTCGTAGTGATCTCCTTCCTTCTGGCTTTCCCACCAAAATACTATATGCATTCTTCTTCACTCAATTTCGTGCCACAAGCCCTGCCCATGTCATCTTCCTTGACTTGATCATTCTAATTATACTTGGTGAAGAGTACGAGCTATGAAGCTCCTCATTGTGTAGTTTTCTCCAACATCCCATCACCCCACATTAGGTAGGTCCCTTGTCACCATGGCATGGCATGTCCTCAGGTTGTCGATGGAGGAGATGTTCTCCAGATATGGAGGGTAGCTGCGAATATAATGAATAAGCAGTCGCAGAGACCTAAAAAGGGGTGGTCCTCCAGTTTGGGGGTTGGGCAAGGGACTCACAACTCCTTTCCATAAAAAATAAGCTGGTTATGAAATGTCACAAAGGGCCTCAGACCTGGACAGATTCTTTGCATATATGACCTAAGCTACAGAAAATGGACATGAGATTATAAAGTTTAAGAAAATCTTCAGTTCAGAAAATGCTATGATACCACTGCATTATTCATTATTTTCATGACGATCACTTTACAAAAGAAGAAATATTGCCATGGGCATATTATTATTTTTTTAGGATAGTGTGACGTGTTGCGCTATGGATGACGCCCACCCCCGCCAGCCATGACGTGCCGAGCGGAGCCGAAGTTAGCCGAGTCCCAGCATACCGGTCCCTATGCAACGAGAGTCAACAGCAGTGATGTCACACGGGACGCCGCAGTTACTATGTAGCGGTAAACAACTCCCAACAGTGCTGCTAGGCTATCGGCTACCACGGCGGCAGACAACAGTGGTGCCGATTACGCGGCTGTTTTCTGTGCTGTCCGGATCGAGGCTAAATAAGGAGCAGCGAAGACTATTCACAGTTAGTTCCAAGTTAGCCAGCAGTTAGTTACAGTTCCAAAGTTACGGGTTGAGTTACGAGCTTGCCAGAAGTGAGTAAGTCAAACAGTCAGTTGCAGTCTAGCATTCACAGGAGTGAATGAAAGCAGTTGAAGTATTTGTGATACTGCCGTTGGCAGTAATGTTGAGCTTGTAAATTGTGTGATTGTGTGAAATAAAATTCGCTATATCCAATAAGGAGTGTAGTTATTTGTCGCGTTATACGCCCAACATGTGACAATATTATGAGTATCCATGGCAATGATCAATAATGAACAAAACAGCATGCAGCTGATAAAATAAGCATTCACACTACAACCTTAACATTCTCCTCTGTACATGACTCAACTGTGCAAATTACTTGTCAAGATTTCAAACAATTTCATTCGTCTTAAATTATATTCTAAAGCAACTTAATTTATTTTTTGTAGTATTACCTTTCCTTCAGATGCAGATGCAAAGGCTCCATCGCCACAACTCTCGTATCCGCAGCCTAATTTGTGAAAACAGTGCAGAATGTGATGCACAGGTTGGCAATATGAGAGGAAATGGAACAGCACATATCCCAACCCTTACACTCCATCCTAAAATACTTCAATCATTAGAAATTTTACTTACGCTGAAAATATACGTGCACCACACTTCCCTACGAGTGTTATTTTATCTCCTTCAATATGCAGTAGGATTCCTTCTCGCAAACCCACCACAGGAGGAGCTCCAGGAATACTATGATACTGTTCAATTCTTTGTTCCCGCGTTTCCTGAAATTATTAAATAATTTTTTGTTCGTACACTGTACTCATCTTCATTACGTGAACTGGGTGACTGTCGACACTATACAATCAGTAACAAGACTGGAAAGGGTGTGTTCTCTAATGTATTACTACAAATGGCTTCCTTGAAGTTCTTTGAACGAAGATGGAGATTTTCGCAGTGAAGCAAAACAGCTGAGAAGCGCAATAAGTAGCCGATACTCACGCCCATATGTGTTGTAGGATTGTCATCCAAATAGTGAGGGTTGATGCTGAAAGGAATAAGCCCAAGAGCTGTGAAGCTGGGTGGACGTACAACAGGCATATCAATTGTTATACAAATACTGACAGTTGCCACATTAGAGCCTGCGCTGTTTCCTGAAAGTTAATTTAACATAAAGAGATTATTATTATTTCAGTATTATCAATTAGGAATTCAAGACTAACAAAAGACAATTCACAAGTTTCATACCATAAATATTTCCTCTAGAACACGCTTTCTGATTGGATCAATTATCTTAAAGTCATACAATGCCTTCAGGAGTTGGAATGTGTTACCACAACCCACAAATAAATGCTTCTGCTTCTTCAACAGCCTGAACACGATCTTCTGAGGTGTGGATACTGTTTACTTTGTAACCTAGAAATATAACTGTACAACATACAGAAGTTGGTTACTTCCCATTCAAGAATATGGAAGTAAACAAAATGTCATGCTATGAGAGATCTAGGGTCCACATTAAAGTTCTTCTATTCATATTCATATTCATTCATATTTATTTCCAATTCCATAGATCCAGAGGGGCTAGAATGCTACTGGATGTGGAACAAGTCCCTTACATGCACAGTTTTCAAAAACGATTGAAACCAGTCAACACAATAAATTTGCTTATACATGATCTGACAAATTATAAAAACATGCAAGACAGTCACAGTATTTATACACAAAACTGTACATTTAAAAACATAAAGTTGATATTTTACAATCAAAATAATAAAAATTTACACTCATAAAATCAGCAATTTCAATACTTTAGATATATTCAAATTTCAAAATTCTTATTTATAACAACAGTATTCCTCCACAGTGTAGAAAGAGTTGGCAGTCAGGAAATTCTTTAATGCCTCTTTTAGCCTAAAGACTAATTACCCAAAGTCACAATGTGATTTTCTTGTCTTTCCTGAGCTAACACTTTAAAATTATAAAAAGGCTAAGTCTGCTGCTTTCTCAAGTTGCCATTCATAATCATCCTACTATTCCAGCCTATGCTGCTGTTTTAAAGG